GAATCGTATTAAGGGTATTTTAAGGGCTTCCCCCAAGAGGTATTGGCTTGGTTCGAATGGGCTGCCTTGTGGTTTGTTTTAAGAAAACTTTTTGCCGCCCTTGGATTATCACACGTAGTGCCAGATGAGTTCTTGCCTGCTCCTTGCTCCTTGCTCCAAAGGCACCTCAGGCACACCTCCAGACACAGTCGTCCAGTTGAAGCACTCCCTGCTCTCTGACTGTGCCTCTGGGAGGACGACGTGTCTCGCATAATTTGCGGCAAAGTGCACAACAATGGCAGCGCCCTCTGTCGTCCGCCTGTCACGGCCAAGCAAGGCATTAGCATGGCATGGGGAGGGGGGCCTGGGTATGACGCGTGAAATATTAGAAATTAAAAAACACATGACAAGTCGAGCCAGGAGCAGAGTGTTACTCCCCAGCAGCACTTTGATTTGTCTGCCAGACAATGGGCTATCCCCCCAAACTCCTGTTAATATCCTTCGCAGGAAACAGCAAGAGGGTGGAGCATAAAGTGGAGTAAGGGCGCTGGTGCTGGGTTGGGGTCCGTAGGCCATGCCAATAAATTAGGAAACACCTGTTTCTGGCCAAGAAGAGAGAGAGAGAGAGAGAGAGAGCGAGGCGCAAACGCTGGCGACAGATGTCCTCTGCAGTGGCTGGGACAGGGGAATCGAAACTGTTTTTGTAATGAAAATATTACGAGAATTATTCCGGTGCTACGTAATTTGTGGAGCTCACCCCTTGCAGCCCCCTTGTTGGGGTTGTGTGTCTGTAATTTATGTTACGCTTTTTTCTCTATTGCTGCTACTTGGCCGCATTTCGCGGTTTTTTATTGCTACGTGCAGGGGGGGCGGTACAGTGTCTACAGAGGATAAGTGTGGGGGGTAACAGGAACAGGAGCAGACCACCGCTATAATGTCGTCATGACAGACGCGGCCATAAAAGATAATTATGATTCCGGTAATAGGTTTTATTTTTCGCATGTACCTCTTTTGTTTCCCCATACATACAGCAGCAAAGCATTGCCAAAAACGTTGCCTGGCACAAAGGTCGAGTCGCCCCGGCACTGTCTGCGAGTTTCGCCAGTGTCTACACATTTACTTTTCGGGTGACCAACGTGGCATAGAAATTATGCGCATTATACGCGGCACGGCGCGCTCCAGCGCCTCGCTAAAAAATTATATCCGCGGAATTATAAGCGAAAACCCCAAGACGGAAGAGGGGATGAGATAGAGAGTGAGTCTTTGGACTGCCAGATACCCTGCAGAGAGAGCGAAGTTTAATGAAAGTTTGGCTAACAAATTTAAGTGGAATTAATTTGATATTTACGAAAGTTTAAAGAACTGTGGAGATATTTGTGTCACTATTAATAAATCGGCAACGAATATACCCCTTAGGCTTTACACCACCTCATTCAGTGCTCTCTCCTTGCCTGTGTTTTTTTATTTCCTTGTGCCGAGCCTTTTGATAAATTGCAGACAAACACTGGGTGGGTGCGAGAGCGGATTAAGATGCGTGTTACATATTTAATTAGCAGCCCATCAAGGGGTAGCAAGGGGGCTACAATGCCACGTTGATATTCCTCCAATGATGTTGTCACTCGCTTATGAAGATTAATGCCACCTTTTGGCACAGTTTTCACTAAGCTAAGTTTCCCACTTGCCACACAGTTTCAATCCATTTCCATTTCCATCTTTCAATCAATCGCCGGGCGACCCGCGGTGCCAAGCAGCGGCGGAAAATGGAAAATTGAGGGGCGTAAGAAAAGAGTAATTGTCGTAACATGATAATTGCTTTAATGACGAATGCAAAATTAAGCATTGCCGCGCCCCTGCCCCTTGCCACAGCCCCGTGGGGAGGCAACCTGTCACGGCGCGCGTCCTTCCAATGTTGATTAATGTGCTCCTGGCTCCTTGCTCCTTGCTCCATGGTGCGTTGGAGGATTGCCCCCAGATTGACCCAGATTTCAATTAAAACGGGACTCTACAGCTGACAGGTTAGGGAAAAGTGGGTATCGCATCCGCCAGGAGAATATTGAACGGAAATCAAACAAGGAGCAGCGGCAGAAGGAGCTGTAGGAAATAGGGAAATGACAGTCCTGTTGATGTCTAATGGAAAACGTGTGCGGGCATAAAAATGGCCGCTAAGAAAATGCATAAAAATCTACACATGTGTGTGCCAGTATGTGTGCTTGTGTGTGTGTGATGGAAGGACATGCAAGGACAAACGGAAGTCACATACGCAGAGCCCAACTCACTCGCCCACAAAGTAACTTTTTTCCTTCGAAGCAAAGTCCATAAAATATTTTTTATACACCAAAGATCCAGCAGGAGATACACTCGAAGGCCAAAGGAGTTCTTGGGGCAGTGGCATACCTACACGTAAATGGAGCTGGAAAGGATGTCGTGGCCTGTGGTCTCTGTGGTCCTGGGGAAATTGTTTACACAAGTCATAAGCATTTTTTAGCGAGCCATCGCCTTGGACTTGCTTCAGCTCCCAGTCCCAGTTCCTGTCCCTGTCCCTGTCCCTGCCGTTGTCTAGTGTTTGCCAGCGTATAAAAGCGTTTGGCATTTGCATAAACCTTTCCTTCGAATCTGCTGTTTGCCCAGAACATTATGATGGCTAGGAGCTACAGCCACAGCTCCACTCCCCACTCTTACTCTGATCATTCCTCTGAAAGAAACTTTCGACAACTGCAATAATCATAACTGCAGCCAAAACCGCTCGACATTGATTTCAAATTTGAAAAGATTGGTGGAGCAGATACGACATTGCCCAATTCCCATTTTGTGCGTCGGGCGCCATTAATGGAGCATTGTTTCACAAGTCGTTCGGAGGCGTCTCCGGCTTGAGCATTTGACTGCCACTCGCTGCTCCTGCTCCTGCTTGAGTTTCCACTTGATTTGGTCGCACCATAAAGCATTTCGCTCTCTCTGGCTCGCTCGAAGAAACTTTCCCAAAAAAGCAACGGCCGAAAAGTTTTTGGCGCTTTCAGTTTTATGTGGAGCAATTTCCAGTGGGTCACCAATTGAAACCGATACGACCTGGGCCCTGTCTCTCCCACCGCCAAATGCATTAGCTTTTCCCTCATTCCCAAATATATTTCTGTGTGTTTAGGTGTACAATCCACTCCACTCCACTCCTCGTTCAACATTTGCCCAGCACAGATTAAGCGCAAGGAACGCGAGTTCATTGGGGGATGTTCTCCCTTTAATTTTTCCTGTGGGTTGGGCAGTGTCTTGCCACGAAGTAAATAGGTTTTTGTGTGCTGCTGGCAGTTTTGGTTTAGGTTAAACGATATTTTGTACCGTGACATGTTTGCCCCGATTGCCTCGTCGAATGTTGTCGCTGATTTTGATCCATTCCGTCGATGATTGATGACACTTAATTGATGAACATCCCATCCCATCCCAATTCCCCATTCACACACTGCAAATATTTGCTAATGTCTGGCTTAAAGTGGCCCACCGTCGAAAGGAGCTTAAAGTCTGGCTGGTCCCAGCTGCTGACAGGAGCCACGCCCGTAAACCATAGACACGGTCTGACTCCTGCCTGTTGGTTGGACACTTTCCAGGTCACAGGTGCTTTTGTTGTCCGCATTAGATTCTGTCCATCCCACACACACACTCGAACACACACAAATCTTTGTGGCCCCTTCCTATTGTTTTGCATTTGGTTTTGCTTTTTGTTTGGCTGCTCTCTCTGCTCTGCTCTGCTCTGCTCTGTCCATTTGGCTGTAAAATTTATTTCATTTGTCCAAACCCAAACCCAAACCCAAACCCGCACCCCCGTGCCGCCCCGCATAGGCATGACGCTGACAGTTTTATGGCAAAGTTAAGCCGATATCAACGGCAGGACATATCGTCGCATGACCCGGCCGCCCGCCTGCGTCTCCATAAAAGTGTAAAATTTAAAGCCTTTTCCGGTCATACGCTCATACCTACATATGTACGTTCCACTGTTCTACTCGTACTCCTACTCGTAGTATGTACCTTTGGGTCGCACGCACAACAAGTGGAACGGTATACAAAATGGTATTGTATTTAGGTTTTTCCACAAAAATGGAAACCCCTTTTCAATGAATTCATTCATGGTTAAAGCAGATAAAAATAACTGAGGCCACTAGAGAGAGGAGAGAGAGAGCGAGAGCGAGAGCTGTGTGACCAACCCAACCCGTTGATGGGGTCAGCAATTGTTCGGGGAATCATTTCCAGCATTAACTGGTTAGGCTCTACCTCACATGCTGTAGCTATAAATACTTATATGCAGATACGTATTATTCTCACTCTAAGATACTCTCAGTAATCAGATATGCATCCATTGTGGGACACTCTGCTAAGTCCAAATTAATTATGGCTGTTTTCTAATGAGGGAAATAAATGGAAGGAAATTCAACACCTCTATAGATTTTCTCCCACTGTACAATCGGGTTTTGGGCAACAAGTTCAAATCAAAGAACTTTGTTCAATATATAAAATTTACTTATTGTTTAAAAAAACAGATTGTAAATATAAAGATAAATATAAAAAAATCGTGTTTTAAATACCCATAGTTAATATTGGATTGCAAAAGTAAAAATGAATAATAAAATATTTAAAAATAAATAAATATAAAAACAATTGGGTACATGTTTTTAATAGATACATAAAAATATCCACTTTCTTACCATTGCAATCAACGAGTAAGAACCTAAAAAGAATAAAGAAATTTTGTATTAAAATAAATTGTAAACTAAAAAAAACAAAAAGGTTTTTGCTATAAATATAAATTCAACAAAAACTAAACGAATCCTTGTTGTAGTCGTATAATATTGTTAACTGAAAAATGTTATTAAAATCTTAATATAACTTAAATAAAAAACTCCTTTAATACATTTGAAATTCGAATTACAGCTTAAAAATGAAATATATAAATAAATATACATAAATTTTATTAGGAAAGTAGAGATGCTTTATTGGATTGAATTATTCCGAAAAGATTCGTGTGGCATGCAACATCCACACACAAGAATCTGTGGCTATATATCCATTTGCTTGTTATCGCAAAACTCCAAGAACCACGGAAATTTCTCCAGCATGCCGTGGGTCCAGCGGCCAAAGACATACAGTGGAATGGGCATGTACTCGCCATCGCCGCTCTTGCCGTTGTAGTACGCGGTGATCTTTACGTCGATCATCAATGCGGCATGCAGCATGTAGAGGATGCCGCAGGTGAGCGAGGCAATGGCCTGGCTGCGCATGTAGTGGCAGAAAGGATGAACGGGCTTGTCCACCTGGTACTCCCCCTCGGACGGCTCCTCGCCCGAAAACATGAGATGGAAATCGTGCTCGGCATCCCACATGGTGGTAATAGAGATCAGGGTAAAGGCGCTGGCCGCAGCCGTGGACTTGATTATCTCCATGCAGACAGTGGGCGTGTGGCCCGTGCAGACGCTGATGCTCTGAAAGAGGGTCAGCACCATGAAGACGTAGAAGGAGACCATGTAGCAGTACTGCAACATTTGCTTCTCCCACGAGAAAATCTCCAGATTGACGGCCATGAAGCCTGAGATGTGATAGGCCATGCAGAACATGTTGAACACATTCTCCAGTGTGTAGAACACAAAGAGAACGGGCCGCAAAGCACCAACTGTTGAATGGGTGGGAGGAGAACTATTACTGCTGTCCACTGCCATTGGGTCGGTGTCGGTGTGTCTCCTAAACATGTGATTTAATTCCTGATTGTGTCTCGGTGTCTCTGTTTGTGTTAGTTTTGATCTAAGCTAAAAGTTTCTACATTCGATAGAGCCATCAAGGCCTACTCCATTCACTTCCGCTGCTGCTCCGAAGAAACTCTTCTGCCAGAAGCATTTCTTCGGCACGTTTTTTGATGACTCGCTGTTCGCTGCTCGATCTGCAGTCACGTCTTCGGTCTGCCGCTCTGCTCAGGTGCTCTTTGGTTTAATTAAATCGGTTTGGGTGCGTGTCGCTATCAATGCGCGTTGCTTATCAGTGGGCCAGAGACACGCCACAATATCAGAGCAACAGCAATGGCAATGCGAGTAGCAATAATAATCATGGTAAGCATTTATCTTTTGGCAGCGGAAAGCGTCAGTTGGCTCTGGCACGTAGAGAGAGCAAGACGCCACACAGATCGAGCCATGAAGAAGAGGATTCTGCTGTTCGCAGTCACACTGATCGCTGCTGGATTGGGACCCCTGCCAGTAAAGTCTCAGGATGAAGGAGAACAGAGCCACTCCACATCTGTGGCGGGTATGGTGAAGCTGCTGGAGGTGGAGGCACAGCTCATTGATGCCCTAAAGGACTATGCGGGGGAGCTGGAAAAGAAGCTGCAGGCAGTGCGCAGGTGAGGATCTTCGTTGCTGCACCCTGGATAATTATATTGTAGCCTCCCTCCTTCAGTGGCATAGCCAGCATGCGGCAGGAGAGCAAACGAGCCCAGGACTCTATGGAGGGGTACCTCTCGAATCCGTTGAACTCTTTCAAACTCATCCGCCGCATGCACCGCGACTGGACATTGTGGCAAATATTTATGGACGAGCCGGTGGGTCTGACGCAGGTGGATAGTGTCCAGGAGCTGCGCGAGCAGATGCCCACCAGCACGGACCTCGAGGAGGCCGTCACCGCCCTGGACCGCATACAGACCACCTACGGACTCACGATGGCGGACATCAGCAGCGGAATACTCGATGGCAGGCAGTACAAGTGAGCAAGCGATCCATAAAAGATTAAGGATGTTTCTCTGAAGGTTTCTTATCTACTTTCTAGTGTCAGCCTCTCTGCTTTGGACACCTATGCCATGGGGCAGATCCTCTTTGACGAGGGCAATTATGCGTCAGCTGCTGGCTGGCTCTACCAGTCGCTGGTGTGGCTGGAGGATAAAAACAACAGGCTGCCAGCCCCTGTGGAGGTTTCTAAGGGAGAGGTGCAGGCCGTGTATGCCGAAACGCTCCTTAAACTGGGTAAGTCCATCCAACACCTGTCTGTTGTCCCTGACCGTGCTAATCGAGTGCGAATGTTCAACAGAGCGGCATGCGGATGCGTTGACAGTTGTCAACATTGCACTGGAGGGCGATAAGAGGAATGATATTAAAATGTTGCTGAAGAAATCGGAAATAGAAACGCTGATAAGGATGGGTCCCAACACCATCGTCAAGGCACCCACGGTACGTTGATGATAAGGTTTGAAGTATCAACTCGTTGGTGGCTAAATTTACATTCCATTCACACCCAATCCCCAGTTGAAGAGCACCTCAACGCGTGTGGGTGAGTACGAGCGTGGATGTCGCGGCCTGTTCCCTTCGCTGTCCACGAATCGCAAGCTCCACTGTCTGTACAACTCCAGCAATTCGGATTTCCTGCGCCTGGCACCGCTCAAGATGGAGCTCGTGGGGCTGGACCCTTACATGGTGCTCTACCATGACGTGATTTCTGCCTCGGAGATCAGCCAACTGCAGGAGATGGCAACGCCCGGGCTGAAGCGAGCGACGGTCTACAAGTCGTCCGCTTCCAAGAGTGTTGTGGTCAAGACGCGAACATCGAAAGTCGCTTGGTTTACGGATACATTCAACGAGCTAACCGAACGACTCAACAGACGCATCAGCGACATGACCAACTTTGAGCTGTTGGGCTCCGAGATGCTGCAGGTCATGAACTATGGCCTGGGCGGACACTACGACAAGCACTATGACTTCTTCAATGCGAGCTCAGTGAGTGAAACGAATCACTTCCCCATTCCATTGATCATTCAATCATTTCCTGCTCCCCGTAGGCCACCAATCTGACTCAAATGAGCGGCGATCGCATTGCCACTGTTCTCTTTTATGTGAGTAATCCTCTGAAGCTGAATCTCCCCATGAGTTTTAAACACTTTTCCCTCTTCGATAGCTGACGGATGTGGAGCAGGGCGGTGCGACAGTCTTCCCCAACATTCAGCGGGCTGTGTTTCCTCAGCGCGGATCGGCCATCGTCTGGTACAACCTGTTGGATGATGGCGAGACCAATCCGCAGACACTCCACGCCGCCTGTCCCGTTCTTGTGGGCTCCAAATGGGGTAGGCTTCTACCACAGATAGTAAACCAGTTTCCCCAAATTTTACTCTGTAACTTTTTTGTAGTGTGCAACAAGTGGATTCGGGAACGAGCACAGCTCTTCAAACGGCCCTGCCTCAAGAGGGGAAAGTGATTCCAATGCTCATTTCAATGGAACTTTAAAATAGTTTAACAATGAAATTACCTCATTCCGTAAATGGAACTAAATAAAGACAAAACTCTACAGAAATCAGACATGCTGTCAGCTAAATCAGTCGATAAGTAGAATCTACAGTCGACACTCAACAATGAACAGATAAGTTACATTTTATTTGGAAACCCTTCACATACCCATTCATCAAAGTCGGGGCGAGGGAATACCTGTCATATCAGTTGTCAGAGTATCAGCGTGAATCAGCTAAGATAATAAAGCAAGAGTCGAAGCCATAAAAGCACTCAATACCGGCTGCTTAAATTCTCTAAACAATTCCCAGTATTTTAATTATAATTATATTATAATCAGTTCGATAAGATAAGGGCTCCAATGAGCACTTTCGAATGAGCGAATATTAAATATTTTAGTCGTACTTAAATGTGACATGAAGGAACGATTTGGATGGGTATTTTTCGCTGTGTCTATTCTTTAAAAGAAAATCAACTGAAAGAGAAAAATCTAAATTATCTGGCCTGTACATTTACCACTACAGAAGCTTGAATACAACGGCTGTTCCTGATGTAGTGGAAACACAGTAATCGTGCTGCCAGACATGCTGTGACAATATTTCACCAGGGATGGGCATCAGCAGGAATATATCGATACTAAGAAAATATCACACAGAAATTCAAATAGACGATATCGATTTGTAATAAATAGCGTTCAAATCCAATCTGTTGATTATTGGGCCAGAGCACTAACCAAATAGTATAGTAGACTCTCAACTCTCAATGTGCGTCTCTGAGTCCCAGGCCTCTGCCAAAGTCCCAGCTACGGCAATTGACTTTGCGTTGCAAATATTTTGCTGGAGTTTTGAAGGAATGCACATGTACACACACATTAACACTTGCACATTTCCCTCCGACTCCCAACAATTGACTTCAAGTTGATGCACTAAAATCTGCATAGACCTTCAGCGTTTTCTTGTTTTCTATGTGTACATACGTATATAATTTTTTGTGATATATTATATGAATGCATATGCAATTATTTATTAATTTAATTATTTTATAACATATATATTCTTGATCTATTACTCTTACTTACATCTACTCTTACTTACTCTTACATCTATATGTATATGATTTATATAATTTACTATTTGGTTGGTGGCCAGAATCTCGGCGCAATATCAGAGCAACAGCAATGACAATACTAGCAAAAATAATCAGAGCAAGCATACATCTTTGCAGTCGAAAGGTATAGTACGTATTTAGCTATCGATAGAAGCCAAAGCGCATTGTGAGTAATTAGCGCAGAAAAGTCCCACCACTATCAACTTTACCGATACATCTTTTCTCCCATTCCTATCACTGGAACGCGTTTCTTAAAAATTCACAGAAGCTGAAAATAAGCGTATTTTGTACAATTCTTTCGAGATGAAGGCCAAGAAGCTGAATTCGAATCTTCACAACCGGAGACAAATGACCCGCAATCGTAGGAACGAAAAATTGAAGGAGGAAACCGCACCGACCGCGCATCTGGTCGGCTTTGCGCGTGGCCTCGAACCCGAAAAGATCTTGGGGGCCACCAATAGCCTGGGCAAAATCGGGTACCTGATCAAGTGGAAAGGCATCAATAATGACGATATGGTGACTGCCGAAGAAGTTAAACAACGTTGCCCCCAGCTGCTAATTTCGTTCTACGAGCAGTGCATTGTATGGACAGATAATATTGGTACCGAAGCTGCTGGCGGGGAGACTGCTGCCCGGGAAAAATCTTAAGAGTATGGCGTGGAAGAGTAAGCAGTGGAATATGTACAACACATACAAATGTATGTAACATAGCCCACCAAAACACAGTTACAAAAAGTGAATTCCTGTATTAAAATAAAATGTAAAGAATGTATTACACATTTCGTCTTTCATTGCTCTTGTCTTTTATTGCCCATTCTGTTTTCAGCTCCGTTCTCTTTCCACTCGCAGGGTATATGCGGTAAAAGGTATTGTACCTCTTATTCAATACACCTTGAGCAAGCGATATTTTGGCGCATCGATAGGCACGGCGCCGATATTTCACTTTTGAGCAAAATTATGAACAACTGGCAAACTTTTTGTTATAGATTTTGGATTAAATAATTGGAAAAGTGGAGGGATAAATGAAGCTCCTTGAAATGGCTGAGCAATGTGGAAGTAATGTGGATCCTATGGAATCTGCGGCACATCACAAGCAGATTGCGACAGCAGGTCCAAGTAGGCCTTCACTACAACATCAAAGCTTATAGGAATTAAATATTCACAGAGTAAACGACAACAATATATTCATTCACGATGCAGATTCTGTTCTTTCTGCTGTTTATATGGCTCTTTCCATATGTGGCAGCAGACTCTTTTACGTTCCCAACCCAGAACAATGTAGCGCGTGGCGAGTACTCCCTCTCAGTGGTGTCGATGAAGCCGCTGGTGGAGCTGGAGACAAAGCTAGTCCAAAACCTTGACGACTATGCAACGGCCTTGGAGCTCAAGCTGCAGATACTACGCAGGTGAGGGAGATGCTCTGGCTTATGAGCAGTTTCAGTAAGAGATTCCATCCGCAGACACATTGCAGAGATGCGAGTGGAGAACGAGCAGGCGCAACGCAATGTGAACCTCTATTTGTCCCATCCGCTCAGCGCCTTCGCCCTCATCCGACGGCTGCACAGCGACTGGCCGCAGTGGCGACAATACATGTCGGAGCCTGTGGGCAGAGCGCAGTTGCGCAACTTTGACACCTTGCAGGGTGCACTGCCCACACAGATGGATCTGCAGGATGCCTGCAATGGAATAGTGCGCATCCAGGAGATCTACGGCCTGCAAGAGAGTCACATCTTCGAGGGCAAGCTGGCAGGCATTCAATACAAGTGAGTGGCCAAGCGAAAAAGCTTTATGAATGAATCCCTGATTACTGATTCACATATTGCAGCACCGGCATGTCCACTGGTGACATTCTCGCCGTGGGCCAGCACTTGTCGTGCACCAAAAATAGCACAGAGGCCATTCCGTGGCTGCAGGAAGTGCGAAGGCGCCTAGGGAACCAAACAAAGAACCCAAACGAACCGCTGGCTGTGGGTAAATCGGAGGTGCTGTGGCTGCTGGCCGAGACGTACATCAAATCTAGTAAGCAAGATCCCTTTAGAGGAGCGTCACTTAACCCTTTGATCTTCCAGAGCACTATGCAGAGGCTCTGCCCATTCTGGACATCGCTCTAAAGGACAAAATCGCCGACGCCGTGTTCCTGAGACGCAGGGAGCAGGTTCAGCAGCTGATTGCAAAGGAGCGTAGCACCATTTTGGATAGCGTATGTCCAGTGAGAGACTCTTCCCAGACAGCTCCATCCTGTACTCCATTCTCCTTCCGCAGGACAAGCCCAAGGACGATCCTAGGCTGGCTGAGTTCAAGCAGCGTTGCAGGAGCAGAGGATCCATGTCCTCATTGCACTGCTGCTACAACTTCACGACCACGCCCTTCCTCCGCCTGGCACCCCTCAAGATGGAGCTGCTGAGGCAGCATCCCTACGTTGTGGTCTACCACGATGTCCTCTCCGACTCGGAGATCGCTGGAATTATCGGCATGGCCGAGCAGAGGATGGCCAGAACAGCGACCATTGCACAGCCGAATCGCACCTCATCGCCCACCCGCACTGCCATGGGTGCCTGGCTGAAGCGCTCGAGCAACGCCCTGACGCAGCGCATTGCCCGGCGAGTGGTCGACGTGAGTGGCCTGCAGCTGGAGGGATCGGAGCGGATGCAGGTCATCAACTATGGCATCGGTGGGCACTACATCACCCACAAGGACTGGTTCACGCACGCCCCGACAGTGATGGGCAATCGCCTGGCCACGGTTCTCTTTTATGTGAGTCGAGCAACTGCCAGGAGTTCCCCCAACTGATCCTTATTCTCCTCCCCATGCTAAGCTATCGGATGTGGAGCAGGGTGGCGCCACCGTGTTCACAAAGGCCCAGCTGAAGGTGCTGCCACGGCGTGGCACGGCCCTCTTCTGGTACAACCTACACACGGACGGAGAGGGCGACTGGTCCACCGTGCATGCCGCCTGCCCCATCATCGTGGGCTCCAAGTGGGGTACGCACTGTCCAAGTAGAGACTAGTTTCTATCTCCTGTTTCCATCCATTTAATTGCAGTGCTGACCCAATGGATACGCGAACCCAGCCAGATCTTCATCAGGCCCTGTCTGCAGCGCACCTCCGCCGGGGATTAGCCGCTCATTCAACTCCCATTTGGCACACGAACACTAGCAGGGATGCGGATACCATGTGGCAGCGGGTGGATATCCATAGACAAACAAATTTCCGGCATAATCACTTTAGACACTTAACAAAAACCGACAGCACCCATCCAAGCCGCCAGCCACCAGCCTCCCTCCAGCTTAAATGCCTTTTAAAATGCCAACACGGAAAAAATAAAGTGCTGAGTGGTTGATAGTCGTAGTCATCCATGGGGATGTGGAGCAGGGAAGCAGGGAAGCAGCAACCAGGGCCCAAGGTAAACCCAAAGGCAAACCGCAGCCACATTTTAGCATACTCCTAGGAGGAGTCTCCTGGCCTCCTGGCGATGTGGCGTCTAGTGTCTGACACCGCGTACGTGACGTGCAACTTAATGTTTCAATTAGAGGTGAAGTGGCGCCCACCAGTGGGTGGCATGGGGCATGGGGTGCACGAGGTTATCGTTACCGTTTTCGCATCTCTGGGGCCATGTGCTTTGGGGAGTATCTCTATCAGTCTCTGCACTTATCTGCTTTTAAAAACTTTTAATAATGAACTCTCGCCGACCGCCAAGCGACGTGTCAGTGGCAGCCATCAGACCTGTGACCCCTGACACCACCCACACGCTGACGCTGCAATTTTTGGTTTAGTCTAAAGTACTCCTGGAAGCACCTTCTTTCGATGGGGCATGCGTATTTGCATGCTAGTTGGAAGTGTTATTTAATTACAATCATTTAAACAAAAGGAGATTGCAGAAGTGGAACTGGAAAGAAGCTCTTAAAGAATCTCTTATTATTATCCTGAATCACTCTGAAGGTCACTGCGTAGAAGCTTCAATAAAATTGTGAGCATAAAGAAACACCTTTTAATAAAGCAAAGAGGGCACTGTCCGAATCCATTCAATAAATAAAAATTGCCAACATATGCGAAAAAGTCTTTGCTGCTGAATGCTGAATGAATCAAGTGGCCACCGATTGAGGCAGCCTTCAACCAGGGAGACTTTCAGAAGCACTTCTACTTCCAGCACAACCCTTGAGGGTAGCGTACCTCCTGGCAGTCGTCTATGCCTAGGCAGGCCATCTCTAGGATATGCCGCACACCGGAATTGTACCTAAAAAACGAATTTCGTTTTGATTGTGTGCACTTTATGTGGTGTCCTGTGTGTCCTCCTCGACTTCTACTCATATTTATGCCCCCCTGGAGCCACAGAACCACACGGAGTCGAGCGTCGAGCGTCGAGCGTCGAGCCACACAGATGATTACATATGCGCAGACCAATAATTTTGCCCAACGAGAACATCCAACAAGGTTAAGAAATCCTTGATTCGAGGCGGGTGGCTGGAGGATGTGCAGGGTGCTGAGGCCAGCATTGATTGTATAAATCTAGTAAAATGTTTTATATGCGCATTGAAGATGAATGGGTGGGCCAGAAGGGAGAGCGGAAAAGGGTTACATTTTGTGGTCAATGAAGGAAATATGATTTGGATTTTCGTTACTTTGATTACACACATTACATGCGAAAAATGAAAAAGTAGCAGAGGACCCCGTGGACCCAGAGACACACACCCCAGACAGCAGAGAAAGACAGACCAAAGGGGTCAACCGATGTATACATATATCAGTATATACACACATATATATATTTTTTATATATTTCCCCATGTACACGGCCACAACGTGTGTTAAATTTCAAGTTGCGGTCTGCGGCCCCACATCGTAAAGCATTTGATGGGAGGAAATTGAGTTTTTCTTTTGGTTTTTTTCTGTTTTTCCCAAGCAGCTGCTTGGTGGCACAAGAGAAAATGCCTGGCAACCCCCCTCTGCACCTTCCCCAGGGTCATTTGGGTTGCGAAAATCGATAAATCGATTCGGACACATTTAAATTTAAATCTCACAGATCTGCCAACGCTCGATCGACACCTTTCAACACCTTCAAATAGGCCGCAAGGTAAGAGCTGTCTCTATTTATACCTGAACAAATCACTAAAGTGGGGGCAATGCGCCCAATCAATCAATGCGATCGATTAAACGATCGAACGGAGGTGTTGACAGGTGCCAAGGCTGCAACGGCAGCTGCAGCCGAGCAGAGTGCATTGTCCCCCACTGCTCATCGATTTATTTTACTGAGAAAAAAACACTTTACAATATCTATAATCTAATTTACTAAAAGAAAATCAGGTAAAAATAATATAAAGTTTCCATTAGTTGATGAATCTTACATTTATTAGCTGGAAAATCAAAATATTCTCTGCCAAAACTTACTCAAAGCATCTTAATTTGTATCCCTTTTTGTCACATATTTAAAATAAATCTCCAAAGCAAATCTGCCAAGATTCTAACCTAGTTCAGAAACAATTTTTTCATCCTTCCAGGATTCAGAGTTTCACAGTTTGGATACAGTCTGCAGGTCCCACCATTAACTCTTACTTTGGCCCATAAAAGGGATTGTAACTGAAATTCCCAAAGGGGAATGTTTCAGTCGAGTTCTACTTAAGTTCTGTATTACAGCTAAGAAGAGCTTTTATTAATATTTTATTTACTCAACTCCCTGGAGAGTGTAGGCCACACGATTAGCCTTAAGCTGAGAGTCCAAACTCAAAACTAAGAGACGCATCAACGTACCGGTTCCGCAATTGATTAAACGGACAGTCAGTGGAGGATGAGTGGAATGGTTGCCCGCTCACAATCAATTATGGAATGACAAATTTGACATGTGTCTGACTGTGTGTGTGTGTACCGAACAGGGAGAGAGTGGAATGGAGACTGATTGCATAATCTGGGGACAGTGGACAGTGCCTTACAGTTGCATGCAAATCGCAATCAGAATAGAGCCAGTCAGTGGGAAATCAATGCCAAAGTTGATTTACGTGTGCGGACGGAGGACTGTGGGACTGTGGGACTGTGGGACGGACGAATGGATGGGGGCGGGGAGTGCGGGTTCAGCCAATTGTACTCCAGTGGAGCGCAACAGTCAGTCGAGTCCGAGCCTGGCCATATCACAATGATTCGAACTGGAGGGACTGAACCCCGAATGCAGCTAAACGAATTATGTCTAATGGCATTTCAGGTTGAAATGCGATTAAAATGCAATTTGAAATGCAAAACATTTCCCTCTCTCTCTCTCTCTCTCTCTCTCTGTCTTTCTCTATCCAGCCCTTCTGTGGACACAGCCCCCCAAGGGGAGCGGGGTAGGACGAATTCTCTTGTTCGACACTTTAAGAGTTTTGTGGCGTCTGTCGTCTCGGCATTGTCTGGCCAAAGACCAGAGGCTGGCTGTTGGCCAAAAACTACTCATTCTTCAGGTCTATTCTGGCATCCAACATTTGTTGTGTGTTGTGGTCATGTTTTTTGCTCTGCCATCCTACATCTACGTCTACGTCTGGCACCTGGCTGACCGACCAACCGACCGAGCAACCGAGCAGCCATTAAGGGGCTGCGATAGATTGACTTCAAATGTTTTAGAAAATCTTAAATCGCGCAGCCCAGATTTATGTGCAGCCCGTGCGACAATTAAAACTCCATTGCGCTGACAATGGAGCCAGTGAGGCAGGGCAGGGCAGAGTGAAAGAAAGGAAAAACCAGGGAAAAACTATTTTCACTCTGCCAAGAAATTCTGTTGCCAGTTGCCAGTTGCCAGTTTGCCAGTTCTTCCTGGCTTTTCCATGGTGTACCTTTTGTGTCACCTCAGACTGCGGCTTCCCTCCTCGACGACAACGAAGCATAATTTATGCGTTGGCCAGACGCCTTGGATATGGAGATGGAGTTGCAGTTTGCAGATGGAGAGAGGGAAGGAGGATGAGGAGGCAGATGCAGATGCAGATCTGGCCAGCATTGGACACATTTCTAGACAGCGAACATGACAGCGGCTATGTCGCTCGTCGTCTGCTCTTTGTTCTCTCGTCTCTCCGGTGGGGAAACTTCACGTGGAAAAAGTGCAGCCAGCAGGCAGCAAACGTGGAAATTATTTTAATTAAAGCAGCAGCCACATGCAGCACGAAGGAGACGACTAAATGCTCTGGCGTTGTGAAGGGGCAACATTTACAGGGATGGGTAGATACGGTGAGTTCCTAGAAAATAGTGGGAATCGGTATAGATATACGAATAATAATGATATAAATTATCGAGGTTAGGAAAGATTCCAGCTCGATAAATGTTCATTTTCCATCCAATTTATGTACTTATCAACTTATGAAAAAATCTTTCCCTAAAGGTTCAAGCTTTTTCGCCAATAAAGGAGTAATTTTTATTACTTAAGAAAATGACTGGAATTTGTAATATGTTAATAAATCATAAAAGACAAAAATTCATAGATTTTCAACACCGAAATAATATCACAAAACTAAATAAATTAGTGGCCAATTAGTGGCCGATCCCACTTTCAAGGCACAGTCGTTGATGGAGTATCTATATCTACATATACCCCAAGGCCCCAAGAAGCGAAAGAGTTTTGTTGAGAAAGTAGACAATGGACCGACAAATACTTTTAGAAGAACGAGTCGTGGAATGGTGGGGGCGGGGGGAGTTGTACGTAGATATGTACGCTCGATTTACGCTGTGCATTTGTCATGATCTGTTTATTTTGATGTATGGCCATGTGATTAATTTAGCCAGATCGCGGAGTTTGTCGCCGTGTCGGAGGCGCACAGTCACAGCCAAAGCCACAGCCAGAGCCAGAGCAGGCCACTTGATTTATTTTGCTCGATTTGCACTTTGTTAGCACAGAGTACTTCGTGGGCACTTCACCCTGCACTCCTCAGGCAGATCTGCAGATCAGTTGCACATGCGAAATAAATGCAAACTTAATAGAACACTCCCCGTAGTGCTCTCCCCCGAAGAGACACGACACGATTTGCCTCCTGCCACAGTCCGGGGTGTGTGTGCTCGACATATTGATTACCGTTTTTATGGAGCCATCACCTGCCTGCCTCTCCTGTCTCCCCCTCATTTGCATTTCTATAGACTCAAAAGACAGACAGACTGGCAGATATGTCCCCCCCCTAGCCAATAGGTAAACCGATTCCGAATGGAATCAAATCAAGGCAAATGCTCGCCCGGCAGCTGTGGCCCGCACACGGAGCGAAAGCGTGAGACACCTTCTCTCGTTCAGGGGCGAAAGTATCTTTGTATCTGTGTGTGCGTGTTGTGGTGTAACATCTGCACACACCTCCGCAGAACACACACAATTTGATTTTATGTTTGCACACGAAGCAACAAT